ACTGCCTTTTGGTCTCTGTACAGGTTCCTCATGAGCACAATGAAGTGTTCTGGAATACTCATTCTTCACAATGTTATGCAGAGTTTGTCATGGTCCACACAGTTGAAAGCCTTTGCACAGTAAATAAAGCACAGGCAACAATTCTTCTGGTATTCTTTGCCTTCAGTCAAGATGCACCTAACACCAGCAATGATACCCCTCATTCCACATATTCATCTGAATACAGCTTGAATCTGGCAGTTCCCTGTCAATGTTCTGTTGCAGTGGTTTTTAAATTATCTTTAGCAAAATTTTACTTGCATGAGATATCAATTATATTGTCTGATGATTTCCACGTTCCTTTGATCACCTCTCTTTGGAATGGGCACAAACATGGATCTCTTCCACTCAGTTGGCCAGGTAGCTGTCTTCCAAATTTCTTGGTATAGATGAGTGAGTGCCTCCAATGCTGTGTCAGTTTTTTGAAAGATTTCATCTTGTATTCAATCCGTTCCTGAAGCCTCATTCTTTGCCAATGTCTGCAGTACACCTGGACTTCTTCCTTCAGTACTATTGGCTCTTGATCATATGCAACCTCTTGAAATGGTTTAACATCTATCATTTCTTTTTGGTACAGTGACTCTGTGTTTTCCTTCCATCTTCTTTTGATGCTTTCTAAATCAGTCAATATTTGCTCATAGAATGCTTTAATACTTCAAGTCAAGGTTTCTCTTCAGTTCTTTCAGCTTGATGACTATGAAGCATGTTCTTTCTTTTTGATTTTCTAACTCCAGGTTTTTGCACATTTCATTATAATACTCTGCCTTGTCTTCTCAAGATGCCCTTTGAAAATTTCCGCTCAGCTATTTTACTTCATTTCTTCCATTTACTTTAGCGTCTCTATGCTGGAGAGAAAGTTTCAGAGTCTCTTCTGATATCCAATTGGTTCTTTTCCTTCTTTCTTGTCTTCTTAATGACCTTTTGGTTTCTTCCTGTAGGATGTTCTTGATGTCATCCCACAACTTTTCTTGTCTTCAATCATTAGTGTCTAATGCATGAAATCTGTTCTTCAGATAATCTTTAAATTCAGATGGGGTGTGTTCAAGGTCATATTTTCGCTTTTCTGGACATGTTTTAATTTTTTTTTCAGCTTGAGTCTTAAATTGCATATGAGCAATTGATGGTCTTTTTCACAGACTGCCACTGGCCTTGTTTGGGCTGATAATATGGAGCTTTTCTCTCTTTCCACAGATGTAGTCACTTTGATACCTGTGTATTCCATCTGATGAGGTTCAAGAGTATAGTTGTCTTTTATGTTGTTTTAAAACTGTATTTGCAATGAAGAAGTCACTGATCTTGTAAAATTTTATCATGTGGTCTTCAGCAACACTTGTATCACCAAGACCATATTTTCCAACTATGAATCCTTCCTCTTTGTTTCCAACCTTTGCATTCCAATAATCAGTAGTTATCAGTATGTCTTGTTTGCATGTTTGATCAATTTAAGTCTGAAGAAGTTGGTAGAATTCTTCAATTTCATTATCACTGGCTTTAGTGGTTGATGGGTGTATTTGAATAATAGTGGTATTAGCTGGTCTTCCTTATAGTTGTATAGATACTATCCTTTCACAGACAGAATTATACTTCAAGATAGATCTTTAAACGTTCTTTTTGATGATGAATGTGATGCCATCTTCTTCCATTTTTCATTCCCTGCATAGTAAACCATGTGATTGTCAGATTCAAAATGGCCAACACCAGTTCATTTGAGCTCACTAGTAGCTAGGATATTGATCCTTATGCACTCCATTTCATTTTGACAACTTCCAGTGTTCCTAGATTCATACTTCATACATTCCATGCTCCAGTTATTAACGAATGTTTACAACCCTTTCTCCTTATTTTAAGCTGCGCACATGAAGGTCCCGGTAGCTTTACTCCATTTGCATTATCACAGTCAACTCTACTTTGAGGAGGCAGCTCTTCCCCAGTTGTATTTTGAGTGACTTCCAACCTGAGGGGCTCATCTCCTGGCACTAGTATCTAAAAATATTCTGGTGCTCTTCATCATGTTTCAATATTCAATATTCTAATGCTATCTCACAGTGTTCTACTGCTATTAATGTTTTCAGTGGCTAAACATTCAGAACTAATCCACCTATCCTTTTTCCTAGTCGGTCTTAATCTGGAAGCTCAGCTGTAATCTGCCCATCATGGGTGACCTTGCTGGTATTTAAAATACTGGGGGCATAGCTTCCAGCATCACAGCAACACGGGAGCCACCACAGTATGACAATTGACAGATGAGTGGTGGTAAGAAATAACAGGGCCCCAAATAATCCCCTCAGCCCAGGAAAATGAATGATTTAGTCACTTGTTTAAAAGCAACCCACTGACCAAATAAATAGTGTAGACCTTGTTAGGGTCTCAGTTTATACAACTGTGGCCATTTATGAATAATCAAGGAAATCTGAAGAGCAACTGGATATTTAATAATATTATGGAGTTAATGTTGAGTTTTTTAAGGGTGGTAATAATAGTTGCATTTTAAAAAGTTATTTCCTAGAGATACTGAAGTCTTTACAAATAACGTTGGGGATTTGCTTGAAAATAATGGTCATTTGTTCGTTGTGGGAGTTTATTATACCATTCTAATTATGTGCATGTTTCAAAAGCACCATAAGAAAAACTAAAAGGAAGGGAAGGAGGGAATGAAAGGAGAGAGGAAGGATGGAGAAAAGAAAGAAAACAATATGCATCCACACTCATTATCTGCCATTCTTAAAAGAAGTTTTGGGTATCAGGACCTTGCCATAAGCAGTAGCGGAACAAGTCTCTCCTTGTTTCTGTACATCAGTTCATTCATCTGCAACTCAGTGAGCTATCTCTCACCTTGATTTTAGGGCACTAAGAAATGAATAGACTTTGTAGCCATCCTTGCTGAGGTCAAAGGTTCCCAATCAAAAGGGGCTAATGGTATTATTTTGGCGGGAGGATTTAAAAAGGAACAGATTTAAAGGTTCTGGCATGGGGGCTGGCTAATTGTTGTTGTTGTTGTTAAGTACCGTGCAGTCAATTCTGACTCATAGTGACCCTGCACAGGGTTTCCAAGGCTATAAATCTTTATGGGAGCAGAATGCCTCATCTTTCTCACGCAGAGTGGCTGGTAATTTCGAACTGCTGACCTTGAGGTTCACAGCCCGATTCGTAACCACTACGCTACCAGAGCTCCTTAGGGGGCTAATAGTCACTTAATTGTTTCCCCTCCTAATCTCTCGATTTTGACCAGGACTAAGCATGTTCACCAAGGAGCTCTGGTAGCGTAGTGGTTACGAATCGGGATGCTAACCTCAGGGTCATCAGTTTGAAACTACCAGCTGTTTCGTGGGAGAAAGATGAGGCTTTCTGCTCCCATAAAGATTTACAACCTCGGAAACCCTGTGCAGGGTCACTATGAGACAGAACTGACTCCACTGCACATAACCAAACAAGAATGTTCACATCTAAAGACAAACGAGCCACAACATGGGAAGATATATGCACACCAATGTTCATAGCTGCACTATTTACAATAGCAAAAAGATGGAGACAGCCAAAATGCCCATCAACTGAAGAATGGATAAACAAGCTGTGGTACATACACACAATGGAGTACTATGAATAACAAGGAAGCTGCATGCCACTTCCCAACATGGATGAACCTTAAGGACGTTATGTTGAATGAAATCAGTCAATCACAAAAGGAAAAATACTGCATAGGACCATTACTGTGCTCCTTTTTAGTATGTTCTTTAACGCCAGATCACAGACAATACATTTTCACAGTTCTTTGGTATTCAAATCATTACATAGCCGCAGCATCATTTTTAAAAATGGCACCTTTTTATTCATTTATTTTGGGCTAGGGAGTTTGTTCCTATCAGATATTTTTTTCAAGGAGATGCCAATATAATTTTTAAGAAAGCAAGTAAACTTTGATCATAGTGACAGTTAAAAGATTTTTACTCAATTTTTTTTTTTTTGCATTTAACATAAGCAGTAACACTTTGCCAGCAGTACATGGTAGCCACAATTGCACAATATATTTTCTTAAAAAATACCAGCAGTTACTCATGCAATATATTCTGCATTTATAAAACAAGTTTTTAAGAAGAAATTTTTTTTTGGCTTATGAAATTGTTAAACCTGGAACATGTCATTGTTAATCATACAATAATAATTCTTAAATGCTGTATGGTTTGTTATTTAAATGGGTAAAGCCATTTACATGATATAGAAAGATATACGTATATCTGGAAGGTATGTGGCATTTATTTGGATAAAATTCTCAATTCAGAGAAATGCTCTGTTATTAAAGTCACTTTGCCGGCTCAAAAAAACAATATCCTATCTGCAGTTGTTAAAGCTTATGCTAATATTGTGTAATTGATATTAAACCGAGATGTTCTGCCCACCCTGTTGGTATAAAGACATTCTGAGCAGATTGTACACAAGGAAAAACAAAATCATGAGGTTAGCAAAATTGCTTAGTATGTTAATTTGCTCAAAATTTGATGTTTGATTTTATGCACTTTGTCGGTATTAACTTTTTTGTTTTCATGTAGATTTTAATAATTGAGTAATTGTAGAAGCATTATTTTAGGAATATGTAGTTTTAACAGTAAATACCTTGTTTTTTCTATGTGCATTGTACAAATTTTTCATTTCTTTTGCTCTTTGTGGTTGGACCTAACACAAACTGTATTGTTTTGCTATATCAAATAAACATCTTCTGTGGAAAAAAAAAAAAAAAAAAAAGAATGTTCACATCTAGGACCTGGCCACACAGACAGCAAGCGAAGTGGGAAACACTTCCCGCAGAGCATTGCGACACAGCGCCTCCGCCCGCCGAAGTTGAGGAATCGCAGGCCCCGCCCACCGACGCCCGCACCTGCGCAGAAGCGTCGCCCAGGAGTTTGTTTTTGTGACTGTGGTGCCAGAGGGCAGCCGCAGCGGCTGCGGGTCCGAGGCTCGGCGTCACCATGTCGGTGCGACAGGCGCTGGGTCGGGGCCTGCAGCTGGGCCGAGCACTACTGCTACGCTTCACGGCCAAGCCCGGCCCAATCTGCGGCTGGGGGAGAGCCGAGCGACCGGGCCCGGCGGCAGGTTGGAGCCGAGGAGAGCGGCCGAGACCGGCCGCTGGGCCTGGTGGGGAGCCGCGCGGGCTCGGGCTCCCCGAACGCTACCGCTTCTTCCGCCAGTCGGTGGCCGGGCTGGCGGCGCGGCTCCAGCGGCAGTTCGTGCTGCGGGCCCGGGGCGGAGTGGGCCCTTGCGGCCGGGCGGTCTTTCTGGCCTTTGGGCTGGGGTTGGGCCTCGTCGAGGAGAAGCAGGCAGAGGGCCGGAGGGCAGCCTCGGCCTGTCAAGAAATCCAGGTAAGCGCTGAAGGGGCGGGTGGGGCGGGGCCGAGAACCGGAGGCGGGGCTAGAACACAATTCTGCCACCGACCCTTTTGTCAGACTCTGACAAACATCTACCTTTGTCAGAGTTAGAAAAGCCTTGGAAGTCACCGATTGAGCTTCATTTCACCCTTACTGGTCGTCGCAGAGGAGGCCCGCGCCTCGAAGTTAAACTAGTGTCCTGTCCTTAAATAGCATGGTCTGGAAAATATTCTACTAAATACAGCTGCAGTTACACCAGGCGCCGGGCTACTAACTTTGTGTGCATTTTGTGGTCTGGTGCTGTGGGTTAATACGCCAGACTGCAAAGTGGGCAGTTCAAGCTCACCAGCTGCTCCTCGGCAACCCTATACAGGATCGCTCGCTATGGGTCGGAATCTACTCGACAGCATTTAACAACAACCACAAATTATAACACCCTTTTACTATTATGTGGTTATCGCCATACTCAGAGAAATGACCTAAGCTGCTGAAAGTCACACAGCTAATAAGGTCATTGAGGGCCAGTCTGATTCCAGAGTTTGTGTCCCTAACCACTGAGCCAAGGAGCTCTGGTAGCGTAGTGGTTACGAATCAGGCTGTGAACCGCAAGGTCAGCAGTTCGAAACTACCAGCTGTTCTGCGGGAGAAAGATGAGGCTTTCTGCTCCTGTAAAGATTTACAGCCTCGGAAACCCTGCACAGGGTTGCTATGAGTCGGAACCAGCTCCACAGCACATAGCAACAACAACCACTGAGCTAGGTTGCCTCCACGGTTTCGCCAAGCCATCAGTGACATTGAAGCTGAAGTGAAAACTGAGGACTACAGGAGCAAGCATTGGGCCCAGTGTTTTAATTCCCCTGGGAGGCATTATGAAGGATGTCTAGGAACACCGAGGTTCTCCTTCCAAAACTGAAAGTCAAACCCGTGGCCATCGAGCCAAGTCTGTCTCATAGTGACCCTGTAGGGCGGAGTGGAACTAACTGCTCCTTAGGGTTTCTGAGGTGACCTCTTTATGGGAGCAGCTGGTGGGTTTGAACTGCCTTCCTTGTGGTTCATAGCCCAGTGCTTAACCCACGGTACCTTATACTCTATATAAATGCTTGAAACTGCTCAGAGATCACCATTTCTACTCATCCTCTGGGATTAGGAACCACTCACTGCTCAGCCTTTTACAGGTTAGGGCTGAGGTGGCAGCAGCTGAAGGGATATGCCCAAGGACACAGAGTTGGTTTAGGACCAAAGGATGCCTCCCATGCTTCCTGGTTTCCAGCCAAGTTACCGTTTCTCATCACAAGACTGTCTCATGTTTGATGTCTGGCAAGTTCTGAAGGCCAGATGACATTGGCTCATCCCCAGTTACTCTCACTTTGCCAGTGCTTAACTGGCAGCAGCCATGAGTGAGAAGCTTGCCAAATCATGCTGAAAACTCAGGCGACTTTTTTATATACATACGCATGAGACTGCCCCTCCTAGACTGACCCTCCACATGTCCTTTTCTCACATGGCACCCTATGTGTCTTAACGTTTTTAATGAGTTGTCAAATAACTTCCAGTTTAAAAAAAAAAAAAAAAAATCACAAAATCTGACAAGCGTAGTGTTTAAAATCCCATGCAGTGTAGTATAGTGGCTATTCTCTTTAGATGAAGGCATGTTTTTTTTAAAAAAAATCCAATTCTAAAACAGACAAAAGACAAGAACAAGTATTTTTGGAATGACAAGCACGTAAAAGATTTTCTGCATCGCTACCCGTTGTTGTTGTAGATGTTTGTTGTTAAGTGCCATTGACTCGGTTCCAATTCAGAGCGACCCTATAGGGTTTGTAAGGAACAGCGGGTGAGTCTGAACCTCTGACCTTTCAGTTCAAACTGACCTTGTGGTCCAGTGCTTATCCTACAGCGCCACACCAGGACTCTCTTATTAGGTGCCATCAGTTTGGCTCTGACTTATAGTGACCCTATCCACAATAGAATAAAACATTGTCTGGTCCTGTACCATCCTAACATTTGTTTTTTTTTGTTTGAGCCCACTGTTAGAGCCACTCTGTCAATCTGTCTTCCTCTTTTTCACTGACTCCTAGTATGGCATTGTAGGGTCAGCATTGGACTTCAAACCACAAGGTCGGCAGTTCAGACCCCCGATGTCCTTTTCAGGGACTGGACCCTCCTGATAACATGGCTACCCTCATTTCTAAGGAGCATTCTGGCGATACTTCTTTCAAGAAAGATTTGTTCTGGTGTTTTCAGAGTTCTTTACCAACACCATAATTTGAATGCATCAGTTCTTGAGTTCTGCTGTGGTGCTGTAGGATATGCCCAGGGATGCTAACCCTAAGGTCAGCTGTTCAAACCCACCAGCCATTCCTTAGAAACCATGTTGTTGTTGTCAAATGCCATCGAGTTGGAACTGACTCATAGCGACCCCATGCACAGCAGAATGAAACAATGTCCGATCCTGGGCCAGCCTCACTACCGCTGCCACACTTGATGACATCAGTGATGCCACCTGGCTGATCCATCTCTCTGGGGGTCTTCCTCTCTTTCTCTGACCCTCTGTCTTACCCAGCATGACATCCTTCTCTAGCAACTGTTCCCTCCTGACAATATGTCCAAATTAGAAACCATATACAGGGTCATTATGAGCCAGAACCGACTTGAAGACACTTAACAACCTTGTTTCATTATCCAACTTTGAGATGCAAATGAGGCAGTTGAAAATACCAGGGCTTGGGTCAGGTGTACCTTTGTCCTCTTTGCTTCAGCAAACAAGGTTTTGTTATCTGCATATCAGGGTCTCTTACAAACCTAAACATGCATCTAGCATTGTTGTTAGTGACCTCAAGTCAGTTCCGACTCAGCCATCCTGTGTAGGGTTGCTGAGGAGCCACTAGTGGGTTTGAACCAATAACCTTGGCAGCACCCCACCAGAAGCATACAACCCAACAATTATATTCTTGGGTATTTATCAAGAGAAATTAAAATTTGTGGCCTGTCTGGTGAAGCAGTTTTCTTATGGGACAATAGTGGACAGTTGGGTAGAATTTAAACGGAGATGTGACATGTGAAAGTGGGATGGTTTAATTGGGTTTAACAGGTGACGTGAGGGGGAAGAGTCTGGATTTGGGTGCCTATAGGTAGTTGCTGTAGGTGACTGAACTGGTTATAAAAGTAGACAAGGAGGCATCCGTGGACCAGGTCAATTGGAGGAACAAGGTGAAGGAGAAATGATGCCACAGCTAGTTTTCTGACAAATTGATAGATGTGCTTTCCTAGTGTCCCCAACCCTCTAGGCCTTCACTTCCGTTTCTGTCAGGGTTTCCGTTCCTAACAGAGCAGGCTGCCCATGTGATTCCTAGCAGCCAGGCAGGACTTAAGAACTCGGCTCCAGGAATGCTTCACGCCCCTGTCCAACCACAGGTCCTGGTAACCATCAGGTAGCTCCTGTACAAAGAGCTGTCTTGTACTTGGAGCTCCCACAATGTGCCAGCAGGGTGCCAGCTGCAGAACTTACCAGAAGTTCTGGCCTCGCTGATTGCCATCGTGTCGTGCCAGGTCATCTCTGTGACTGCCACGAAGTGGCATAGTTTGAGAAACATTAATCAGAGAGGCAGAACAAGTTTGGCTGTATTTTCAGTGGCTCTTGGTGTCACCAGTGAAGATCTTGCCTACTTCCCTGGTTTTCCCCTTTCCCTTGACTTGGGCCTGACTAGCCCTAGGCTCACTCTGCCATTTTCTTCCTCACAGGCAATTTTCACCCAGAAAAACAAGCTGCTGCCTGACCCGCTGGACACTGGACACTGGCAGGGCTTCCGGCTGGAGGAGTATCTTATAGGGCGATCCCTTGGCAAGGGCTGCAGTGCTGCTGTGTATGAAGCCACAGTGCCCACTGTGCCCCAGAACCTGAAGGGGGCAGAGCACCATGGGCTGCTGACCAGGAGAGGCCCAGATGTCATTCCACAGGAGGAAACTGAGGAAAACATGACCCAGCCCCCTGCCTTTCCCTTAGCCATCAAGATGATGTGGAACATCTCGGTAAGGACGTGACCTCTATCCTTTAATGGAGGCCTTTCTCTGGGACCTGATGGATTTCTCTTCAGGTAGCAAATAGGAAACAACCCCAATTCTCAGTCAGGTGCCTACATAGGGAGGCTTCTTCCCCTCTAAGGCAGGCGTGGTGTGGCGCTGCAAGTTAATGCGCTGGACTGCAAGGTTGGTTTGAACTGTAAGGTCGGCAGTTCAAACTCACTAACCACTCCTTAGAAGCCCTATACAGGGTCAGTATGAGTCCTAACAGACTCAAGGGCACTTAACAACAACAAAGGCAGGTCTCCAGATCACCTGGAGAATAGGGAAAGGCAGATTCTTAGTCAGCAAGTGGGGGTTGGGTCTGAAATTTGCATTTTTAACCAGCATCCCCACAGGGGCTGATCCAGCTGGTGGCTGGTGTGTGAACCAGACTCTTGAGGAGCCAGGGCCTAACCATTGGTCTCTAACCTACCAATCATGGCTGTTCAGCAGATTTCAGATTTGCAGTTACCACCACCCTCTCCCTCCCGTGACCAGGACCCACTCCCAGATCAAAGGCTTCCTATCCACCTCCCTGTTCTCATGGAAGGTCTCAGGCTTTGGAAATTTGAAGAGTATTTCTCTCTCCCACAAAAACAACTATCTGTCTCTAGTTTCTTTGCCTTATCATGGCATAGGTGGGTTCAGGGAACTGACAGGACCTGAGTGATAGTCCTTCTCCTGAGCAGAGCACCCAGCCAAGCCTATGGTAGAAGGCGGCCACAGCAGCCAGGCCGGACACGAGAGTTCAGGTTTTGGTTCTGTGAAAAGAAGGTCTAGCCTGTTGAACTACCACACTGGGCTACTAGCTACCAAGTAGCCAGATGCTTTTTGCCTGTGGAACTTTTCACCTGTCATGGCAATGAAGTAGTGACCACAGTTGCATTCGCAAAAGCTAAAAGACTGGATTCTTCTAGGAGCTCTTTGATACCCATCAAGACGTCCTGAGACCTGAGAGCCGTTCGTAGTGAAATAAGGAAAAGGAGGGATTTTCTCTCCCACTTTGGTTTTTATTTACTTATTTGGAGTGGGGCCAAGGGCATATCACTTTACTCAGGCTGGGGTTTAGAGCCTGTGGGGACCAGAGACATCTTCATCTTGACAGCTGCCAAGAGTTTGTGTGTGGGGATGGCATCTCTACCTTCTGTGTCTTCTAAGTGTCCCTGGTCTGATCTTGTCACGTCAGAGAATAGCTTTTGAATGTCCAAATCATGTCTAGACAGGTTACGGAGAGGGCTTGGAACCGCTTGGGTTTATCTAACTCTGGGTTCCATATGGCTCTGTTCCAGGCGGGCTCCTCCAGCGAAGCCATCTTGAGCACAATGAGCCAGGAGCTAGTCCCAGCTAGCCGGGTAGCCTTAGCCGGGGAGTATGGCGCAGTCACTTTCAGGTAAGCACCTTTGGTCCACCATCCTCAGCTGACCCTTATCTGAGGACACTCAGCTCAGTGTCTGAGCCCAGAAAGGCTTATTGCATGCTGTAGGTAATGTGGATTTTCAGTTAAAGATAATTATTATTTCAGGAAAAATGGCCAATCATCCAACTCCAAATGATGGTTGATTCACATTGGAGCAGGGGCAAAAGCCATCCAAACATACCTGATTCAGGGGGTTGGAGAACTGACCGGATTTCTGACTCCCTAGGAGTCCTGGTTGGCATTCAAGCTCGCCAGCCGCTCTTCGGAAACCCTATACTGGGTCGCTATGGATCGGAGCTTACTCAGTGGCACTTAGCAACAACAGGAGTGCTGATGTGGCACTGTCAGATAAGCACTGGACCACAAGGTCAGTTTGGAACTGCAAGGTTGGCTGTTCAAACTCACCAGCTGTTCCTCAGAAACCCTATATGGGGTTTCAGTACGCCACCAACTCTACAGCACTTAGTGGACTGGGTTATACACAGCAGGGCACCACCTAGTGGTCCAAGCTGAAATTTCCTCTGTTCCTCACAGGAAAGAAACCCTCTTTCCACTAATAGTTAATACCTGAGAGTGCCAAGCACTGTTCTAAGTATTAGCAGAGAGATTTATTCTAAAAGAAAAAAAAAAAGTGTTCAAGCATTCTCAGTGTGCAAAGGAGCTGCACCAGTCCAGAGCCATGTCGTTTGGTCACTGTTAGGCTGCTGAATGCCATGTTATAGTTTCTTACCTGCTGTGTATCTAAGACTGTCTCATGCTTCCCCACTTGGCTGAAACAGAAGATCCAAGAGAGGCCCCAAGCAACTAGCCCCCCACCCCAACATCATCCGGGTCTTTCGCGCCTTCACCTCGTCTGTGCCGCTGCTGCCAGGTGCCTTGGTTGACTACCCTGATGTGCTGCCCCCTTGTCTGCACCCCGATGGCCTGGGACATGGACGGACACTTTTCCTTGTTATGAAGAAGTAAGTGGCATGGCCTTACCTTCAGGAGTGGAGGCTGGGCCCTGCCTTTCCTTGTGCACACTGAGCACGGGCTTTCAAGGAAGAAGAAAGTTACGCAGCAGGGCTGTGTTTGCCCCAGAGAGCAGTTTCACTTGAGGACAATGTCTCATGACAATAAACTCATCTTTGGCCAAAGCATCCTATCCAGCACTTTCCTCCTAGTGCTTTTGGCACACTTGACTATCACTCCTTAACCTGTTTCCAACCTAAAAACAGCCCTCCTCACAGCCTCCAGGTCCTCTAACAATACTGTCACAGTGAGTTAAGGAATGAGAATTTGTACTGTTTCAGTGTGTCATGTCAGGGTGATGGCTGGGTCGGGACAGAAAGGGTAGTTGCAGGGGAAAGTGACAAGTCCCAGGAAGCAGAGGAGGACACAGTAAGAAAGGTGTTAGGGACCACTGACATGCTCTTGATAGCCCAAGGCCCTGTCCCCTCCACCAGCTATCCCTGCACCCTGCGCCAGTACCTTTGCACAGCTGCTCCGAACCCCCGCCTCGCCACCATGATGATCTTGCAACTACTGGAAGGGGTGGATCACCTGGTCCAGCAGGGCATCGCACACAGAGACTTGAAGTCTGACAACATCCTTGTGGAGTTGGATGCAGGTAGCTCTGAGCTCCCCCTAAGTAATCCAGGGTATGTCTGGGAACATCAGGCCTTTGGGGGTTTTTGTTATCATAAGTTGTGTGTCCTCATTTAGCTCCTTACAGAGATGAGTGTCATTTCCTTACAAGCACAGACTTTTGTTCTCTTGAGTGGCTTTGTGGAGTGGTATTAACAGGACTCGGGTTCCTACCGGCTACCCACTTACAGAATAAAATCCTCAGTGTGGAAGTGTTCTTTAACAAGTAAAAGGGCAGTACACTTACGCTCAGTTTAAGGAAAGCATCTTTAGTGTAAGCTCTCCAAAGGGAAGCCCAGCTACCTCTGTAAATAATGAGTTGCCCATCACTAGAAGCATTCAAGTAGAGGTGAATAACCGTTTGGGGGTATAGTAAAAGATATTCACACATCTGATAAAATTTGAACTAGATTTTAGTTGTATATGCAATAAAGTACTAGCTTTTCAAAGAAACTCTGGCTCGTTTTATAGGTAACCAATTCTTAAACTTGGAATTGAAGGCTTCAAGTTCAAATCAAAGGTTCGGGGGTCTAAGTGCCCTTAAAATCATATGAGCCAAGCACCATCTAATGAGTCAATTGTGAACAGCCCCTTGATCTTAGGACAGACTCCAGCTACTAGAGAATTATGTAGATTGACGCAGACTTTTATCCAGCAGTTACTTGCTTGGGGTCTTTAATTTCCTGGGGCATGTTCATACTCCTGAACTCACCCTCCCATGCAGGCCAAGAGAGTCCTGTTAGCCCCTCTCATGTGTCTTGATGGTGGCCTCAGTGGGGATACAGAGCCTCTGGAGGTTAGGAAAGGGAGGAGAATCAGCTGTTTACCTCTGCAGATGGCTGCCCCTGGCTGGTGATCACTGATTTTGGTTGCTGCCTGGCGGATGAGCGCATTGGCCTGCAGCTGCCCTTCACCAGCTGGTACGTGGATCGGGGTGGAAACGGCTGCCTGATGGCTCCTGAGGTAAGTCCTGCGGTGGGTGTCATCTGGTGTCAACAGATGCTTCCACGACTCCCATGAAACTATAAGATGAGACTTGGCACTTTATTGTTTACTCAATGCCTCTGTCTTTTCTGACCTCAAATCTAGCACCAGTTCCTTCCCTGCTGCTTTGCTTTACCCTGGTTCTCCCTTAGGGTTCCGGGAGGTGGGAGTTTTGTGAGCATGAACCAGGCAGCCTCAGCAGATTCTCTGGGGTCTGAGCCACACTGAATCACTGGGTGGGCTCCCAGGACAGAGCTTCTAGGCAGAGCCAGCAGCCCGAGTGCTCACCCAGTGCTTTCTGAGCAGGTGTCCACAGCCCAGCCTGGACCCAGGGCAGTCATCAACTACAGCAAGGCAGACGCCTGGGCCGTGGGAGCCATCGCCTATGAACTGTGTGGGCTTGCCAATCCCTTTTACGGCCAGGGCCCAGCCCACCTGGAAAGCCGCACTTACCAAGAGGCTCAGCTGCCGCCACTGCCCGGGTCAGTGCCTCTAGAGACCAGGTGCCTGGTGAGCTCACTGCTCCAGCGAGAGGCCAGCAAGGTGAGGCTGCTCCCAGAGTTTCCAGGTGCCACAGGGGTTCCCTTTCCAGGGTGAAGGGCAGGTTTGGCCAATCCCGACTAGAGACAGCGAGCCTCAATCTTAGAAAGGTGAAGGTCAGGTATGCTAATGCTATACGGTCATAACTGTGTATTCATGTAAATAGGTGTAGGGGTGGTGGTGGTGGTTATGTGCCCTGGAGTCGGTTCCGACTCATAGCGACCCTGTACACGGTTTCCGAGGCTGTAAATCTTTATGGGAGCAGAAAGCCTCATCTTTCTTCTACAGAACAGCTGGTAATTTCTAACTGCTGACCTTGAGGTTCGCAGTCCGATTCGTAACCTTAGGTGTAGGGGTGCTGGCTGCCAAATCAAGAGTTAGAATCCTAGCAGTTCAACTGCTTTTGGCTTTGTAGCTGTTTAGTTACTCAGAAGGAGCCCTGGTGGTGCAGTCGTAACGCACTCAGCTGATGAAAGGTTCGAACCCACCCAGCAACTCCATAGGAGAAAGACCTGGTGATCTCCTCTTACAAAGATCACAGTTTAGAAAACCCTATGGGGAAGTTGTGCCCTGTCACATAGAGTCACTGTGAGTCAAAGTCAACTTGAAGTCACCTAACAACGTTAACTCAGAGGGAAAAGGATGTGTTTTTGATAAATGTTTAATGAGTATGTAGCTTACTGGAAACAACTGAGACCTATAACAGATGGGAAAACATCTCCCAAGAACAAATCTGGATATTTCGAAATTACTAAAAAGGAGTTAAAAGGCAGCTGTATATGAAGACATCATTGGGAGTGGCAGGCCCAGTTCCCACAGCAGGCTTTGTGGAAAGAACCTACAGACAGAGCTGGGTTCTGATGACTGTCACCACTTAACACTCTACATAGCATGCTGTCTTGGTCACAGAGTCTGCTCAGTGAAGGTTTGTTAAAGCAGCAACAGCTCCCATGGAAAGGAAAGAGACAACTTAGCTAACTCCAGCATAAGGGACAAGACAGGGCAGCACTCAAAAGCTTGGGAACCTACCACAATGAGAAGTGCTATTCTAAGCAAGGCAAACAGCCCCGTGCAAAGTGTACACATGGAAAGGCCTGGAGCATGGGTAGAAAGCAGTCAGTGTGTGTCTGGGGAGTGAAGAGGGGATGGGGAGGAGACTGGGTAGAGGGAAATTCTGGTGGGGCCATAATGGTAGAGAATGAAAATCCAGAAATGAACAAAGTAGCCTGTAGGCTCTTGAAGATGCTCTTAAGTTTCTGCTTCCCTTAATGTTTCAGAGACCATCTGCCCGAGTTGCTGCAAACGTGCTTCATTTAAGTCTCTGGGGTGATCACATCTTAGCCCTGAAGAATCTGAAATTAGACAAGATGGTTGGCTGGCTCCTCCAACAATCGGCAGCTACTTTGTTGGCCAACAGGCTCACAGAGAAGAGTTGTGTGGAAACAAAAATGAAGATGTTATTCCTGGCCAACTTAGAGTGTGAAGCCCTCTGCCAGGCAGCCCTCCTTCTCCACTCGTGGAGGGCAGCCCCATGATGGCACTGCATGTCGCTGAATTACTAAAAGAACTTTCCAGCATCTGTGTCACGAAGGTCTGTGAATACCGAGAGGGAGCTATAAGCTGTGGGAGGGTGGGAGGCAGGAGGAAAGATGGCCAGAGAGGGCTGGTTGACTCCAGAGAAGGCCTCAGGCTTGGCAAGTGTGAAAGGAACCGCTTGAGTCATAGTCCCTGGTCTGTAGCGTATACCTCTAGCTGTGCAATTTGCATGAATCCTAGAACCTGTGTGGACTAAGGTTCTCTTACCTGTAAAAGGAGAAAACTGGTCAATCAGGAACCGGCAAGCAGGTTGTCACAGCTAGTCAGCTGTGTCTTTGTAGCACAAAAGCAGCTTTAAGTATGTAAACAAACAAATGTAGCTGTGTTCAAGAAAACTGTATAGACCCTGACATTTGAATTTCATATTATTGAATTTCAAAGTCAGTTTTGAAGGCAGTGCACTTCACGGGGCAAGTCCACATGGTGACTAAGGTCAGCTGCACAAGAGTAATTGACAAGTATGGTAAATGCTGTAATGCTCATAGGATCCGGCACCAGCAGTAGTAACTAACAGTCATTTGTGAGTAGAGATATACAGTCGTATGCTCAACAGGTGAAGGAGGTCATATGGCAGTACACCAACATACAAATAGAGGTATGTTGTTAAGTGCCGACGAGTTGGTTCTTACTCATAGTAACCCTGTATAGGATTTCCAAGGTTGTAAATCTCTGTGGGAGCAGAAAGCCTTGTCTTTCTACCACAGAACTGGTAGGCTCAATCCACCAACCTTGTAGTTCCGAGTCTAGTGCTTAACCTCCTACAGAACCACTGCACCACGTACAGTGCTGGGTATTTCTGTATACTTATCTGTAAATGCTGCAGGTACACTCAGATACAAGAAAATAGGTAGGATGCACGATAATAGAAAACTACTTCATCAGGACTACTGTATTTGAAAGCCAAGGATCCGAATCTTAAGGAACAATTGACAAAACACAGTTCATAATTTGTGATATCCTAGTCTGGTGATAGCATGCCAGTGGCCATCCAAGAAGCAGCTGTCAGTCTCTCCCACCTGGAGCAAAGGAAAACAAAGAAAAAGACTCATGTAATCAGTCCACAGGACTAAAGGCTCACATGAACCACAACCATCTGAGTCCAGAACTAGATGGTGCCCAGTTACCACTATCAATCACTCTGACCAAGACCACATTAGGAGGTCTACTTAAAATGGGTAAAAAAATGTAAACTACTATTCAAATTCAAAGAAAAAAAAAAAATGGATTAGTGTGGTGCTGTTGGATAAGCATTGGACTGCTAACCACAAGGTTGGCAGTTCAAACCCTCTAGAGCATCAAGTCAGAATTGACTCGGTGGCACTTAATAACAAAGATGAGAAGGCAGGGCAGGCCAGGGAGACTGGATGAATGGAAACCCAGAGCCCAGACAAAAAATGGAGTGCTGACATTGCAGGGATTAATTACAACCAGTCACAGAACCATTTGAGTATGAACTATTCATTGGAAAACGAATTTGTTATATGTTTAGAAAAAAAAACTTAGTATCTTCAACCATTTAAAAACGTGAAAAAAATTAAAAATAAAAACGTACCTTGTAGGCCATACCCAAGCAGGCAGCAGTCTGGATTGGCCTCGAGGCCAGTTTCCTGGTCACTGATTCAAATGAAGTCAGAGAAAATAGAAAACATTACCAACTCCTCACTAGTCCCTTTTATCAGTGATGAGGAGCATCCTTGACTAGGAAGCCAAAGGAATACGAGTTCTCAGTACCAAGTACACAGATCCACCAAACGCCCCATCCTAAACATGTGGTGTCTGCACAGACCTCTGGAAATTAACGACCAAAGTGGCGTTGAGGTTATACCTTGAATGTTCCACAAACAGACCAAGGTGGTGACTATTAGGCAGTTCTGTGACATTTAACCTTAGATCTGGGAATGACTATTGCTTATGTGAAAGCCAGCCGGGTCACTAGTCAACACATACCTGAGCTAAAGTAGACATCTGCACAAGGCAGTGTAATCGGGTCCCAGTACGAGAGAACAGTGAAGTGACCCCAGAAGAGATGCCTGTGCACTGAAGTTAGGCACTCTAGAATAGCATGTGGGATATTTTGGCGGAAGCATTGCCACAGAGCCCCTCCAGCTAATGAACTGATGAAATGGAAACTAACCGTGTGGTCTTTAACTTGCGTTCCTTATAAGAATTATGAATTAAATACAAGTTTACAACTACAGAATGCGTATGTGCCTTAAATTGACTTTAAGAATGATTCTTGCTATACCCTGAAAACCAGAAAGTTTTGTGGGTAGTTAACAAAAATGAGGAAAATATTTCACAAAAATTATACATGTGTTTTTTGGAACACAGCTAAAGCAAGCAAGGTGAACAGGTATTTAAGGTTCTTTTCAACAAGAAACCCTATTACAAAGCAGAGCTGTCATCCCAGGTTTCTCACATTAGTGCCCCTTCCCTCCCCCCCCCCCCCCCCCAGACCCCACTTAAAGTCACTGTGGAACAGCATCTCCACTGCTCGCAAAACACAACGGGCCAGATGAAGTTTGAGGGCAACATTCTCTTTATTTCAGAAATAGTAACTGCACATATGAAAAATGCCACTTAATTCAAGGTGGGAAAACCACATCAAAAGTGTTTCCTAACCCCCACCTACTGGTACTCAATGCTGCATCTCCCACTGAGGTAAGGCTGTGCCATTGTCCCACGGCTTAAAAAACAAAAAGTTGCTAAAAAGTAAAAACCCTCTTGTCCAAGCAGGAGGCGTTCCCAGGGCTCTGGCCCCTAGTCAGACTTCTCTTTCTCCTTCATGTGTAAGAAGACGATGCTGAAGATGAAGAGGCCTGCCATCATGGAGAAGGCACTGGCATAGTAGGGATAGGCCGAGGGGATGAAACGCTCATACTGCGTGTGCTGCAGTGGCCGCACGGACACCTGCAACAGGACAAGAGGTCAGCCAGCCACCAAGAAGCCCAGGTGGGGCATACTTCCTGAAAATGGGCTGTGCTCACCTGAGTGGAAGAGTACAAGTGTGTGTAGCCGAGCCGGTTGTAATCCACTTTAAACTGGAATACACCATACACATCAGGCAACTTGAACTGGACACTGTACTTGCCACCTAGGGAACAACCAACAAATAACAAGGGCTTCTCAGTGTCTGTGGGGTCTCATGAGAGCAGGAAGGAGTGCACACCATCTTCCAGTAACATTCTCTTGCAAAAATAACAAATACCTTTCTTCTTCAAGAAAGTCCTCACAAAGGGATCAATGCGGACAAACTCCAGTTGAATGTCATCACCATCAAAGGGCACCCATCTGCCGTCTGAGAGCTGTTCAATCACAATGCTGTACTCCTGGGGTAAAAGGCCAGGTAAGCTGAGGCTGTGAATGGACAGTGTGTCCACCCTATAAATATGGCAAGAATTCCCCGAAGTTCTGGAAAGTGCTGAACCCCTATTAGCCATTACCGAGTATGGGTACTACTTGTCAGACCCTGCTCTCAGCTTCTTCACTGGTCCAAATTCCTTATCAGCAGTCAAGGCAAGACCCATCAAAGGCTGGACCCAAACCACTCTCCAGTCCTACAGCATGGCATTATCGTGCACCGTGCTTCCATATACACTGCTCCCTGTGTGTCCCCTCTTCTGATACATTTGTCCTCGAAACCCAACTCTAATGTCCCTTCTCTCTGAATCCCACTGCCTGGGCAGTGAGTCAGTACAGCCCTTCCCACCTCTTTGTCCCACTTTATGCCCCTGCAGCCAACATGGGAGTGTTCAATCAATGCCTATGAACTTAGTGGAATCAACTTGGCTGAAACCCAGGCCCTCCCACTCTAAGCAGCTCTTACCACTAGGTCAGTGACTGTATAAGCATTGGGTGGGGTTGTCTCGCCCACCCGATGGTGAGACACAGGCCCCACACGGAGCACACCCTCCTCCTTGAACACCCAGCGGGACAGAGCCACAGCTAGCTCGTAGTTGCCTGTCTGAGAATACCTGTGGAGGTGAAAAGAGAGGTTAGCGCATCCAAACCAACTTCTTCCCAAACTGCAGCAGGCCGATCCTACCTGTCAGCCATATGTACCTAGGTACCCAGAGTCTAAGGGGGCACAGAAAAATGTCAGGTAGGCTCGCTCGGGTGTTACCTGCAGAGTAAGATCGTTGATAACTTAGAACTCATAACTGTAATGTTGTGAAACTTTGCCCTTGCTTTGAAAAGACAGAACCAACCCATACTTGCAACAAATTTTTAACAATCACCTTCACTTGCTGCACGTGCAGCTTGTAATAAGTACTGAAAAGGCATAATTAGCGTAGTGGTTATGAATCGGGCTGTGAACCTTAAGGTCAGCAGTTTGAAACTATTAGCTATTCCATAAAGATTTACAGCCTTGGAAACCCTGTATACAGGGTCACTATGAGTCGGAACTGACTCCACAGCATGTAACCACCAGCACTACAGAACCATATGCACCTGTTCTGACTGCCTACAAATTCAACTTAAAGCCACACTTAGGAATGGATCTCATTCATAGTATGGAGACTTCCGGTACAGTTTTCTAAAAGGAAAGACAGTAGTGAGGGGTCTCTAGATAGACCATTACTAACTTGAAAAAGTTCAACGTGTTAACAGCAGCAATACAACAATGAAATGGGGCCAAAATGCTGAAGACACTTAACCTCTGACACTGAGTTAAGCAGCTCCCTCCCTGTGTACATAGACCCCACCAATCGGACCACATGCCCAAGCCTCCTGGAACCCACTTCTGGGAGCCGGCCGTGGCTTTCTGCACAGCTGAGTTGAAAAAGGCGTCACTGAAGAAGTCGAGGGAGCCGCTGAAAATTACCCGGGCGTTGTTCCTGGCCTGAAGCCCAGCAATAAGGAGGGTGTTCTTTCCCACTGCATGGGGATACTGGAAACAAAAGGAGGCCATCACTCACGGTGTGCCACAGTAAAGGACAGGCAGCTGCGTCTCTAGAGCAAACGGACAGCAGACTGGACCTAAACCACCTTCCCGTAGGCCCAACCTGAAGGAAGACCCAGCGATCCCCTCACTCCTGCCCACCCCCATTGCTGCCAACTTCTGGTTTCACCAGGTCAACTTTCAAGTAAAGCACTCTGCTAATGAGTCCAGGAGCTGGAGGCCTTGAGGCTGCAAAGGCCCCTCACCTGGGTGATGGGCTTATCCGGGAAGAAAGAATAAGAGGTAGAGGAGCCTGTCAGGATGTCCAGTACCAGAGGATTGTCAGGATCGGCCACCATCCTGCAGGCAGAAGAGAGAACAGTCCCCCACATTGACCATGCTAACTCAGGACTCAGCCCAAAGGACCTGGGACCCTTGAAGGGTCATTTCTTCCCAGGAATGAACCCTTCCGAACAGCCAGACACTTCACTCTTCTGACTGTAACAATGGAGTCTGACTCAATGTCCAATTTTAATCTCCCCAAATCATCTGACAAAATGTCTACTGCTCTCCCTGCTCACTCACCCAACGCCCCGGAAGAGGATGGGATTTAGAGGTGACTTTCCAACAATGGTCGGGGCCTTCAGCAGGTTCTCAGTGTCGGCCACAACGAGCGTATGCTGCAAAGAGCAGGGGGGTAGACAGGAGGTCAGGACAAGCCTCCTGGAGCCAAGGTGTCCCTGCCTTCCTCATGGTGTCTGTTGAGCTGCACATGTCTGAAGCCAGGAAGGTGGAAGAGGAGGCCTGCTTACCTGGCCAAGGTCTGAGATGTCATAGTTGTGATGGTCAATGACAGCAGTCTTCTCCTCATCAAACTCGATCCCACACTCACTGCCCAGCTCCCGAAGAGGGTCACCTGCACAAACCCAAGAGGTGCCTATCTGAGCCCTTAGCAATAGGCCCTGGGCAAGCAGGGGCAGGCAGGTGTTGTGGGCCCTCAGGACCCTCTACTGATCAGCCTAAAACCCTGCAGCTTCCCCAGCTCAATCCTTGAAAACAGCGCCTATCCAGCTCACACCCCGCCAAGTCAGACTCTGAGCTGATGAAATAAGAACAAACCCTGGCCTTTTCCAGGTGCATGCGCTACTGCCTTGGACCCGCTCAAGAGCTCTCAGTGAAGTAATAACCTTGGGGAAACCTAACTGGGTAAGCCTGTGTTTACATTTCTCTCTTCCTCCTCATATCCTCCTCCCAAGAAACCCACCCATTACAAGGTGTATGTTTTGTTGTTGTTTTTTTTAATCTCTCCATGCTGAAAGATATAGAAGATGATTGGTCAGTTACTATTCATTGTTGAAGCTAGGGAACAAAAACATGGGGGTTCTCTCGCTACTTCTAAGTATCTTAAAAATTTCCAAAATGGAAAACAAAACAAATTTCTTAAATGAAGGCTATGGACTCCCTGTAATTACCGCCTCTCCCCACCTTGTCTTCTTTTTTTATAAGGGAAGAGCCACCCAAAACAAACCAACCCCAAGGTTTGCAGCTCTTAAAAGGAGCAGGCCTTCACTGGCTCCAGCTACTGGAAGCACAGAAGAGACTGGCTGGGTCTGCAGTGGCCTCGTTGACCCCGAGCCAAGGCCCACTCAGTGAGTGCCAATGTGAAGCTTCCCTCTTTAGAAGCTTCCCTTTGTAAAGCTCTTCAAGCTCCCTGGAGAAATGATGGAAAGCACGAGAACTCTCAGGACACTTACCAATATCTGAGCTGGCAGCTACCAGGACACTGCCTCCCCCATCGATAAAGGCACTGATGGTCTCCACATTGATGTTGCCCCCAAAATCTGAAAAAAAGGCACCAGGCACAATGACCCTGCAGGTATCCTCTTCTCATATTTGAGGGGAAGGTGAGTGAGCAGCCTACCAGCCACACTGTCTCAAAGCAGCACACTCTGAGGGAAACAAGAGGGACGTTTACCACAGGTGTAGATAAAATGGTCAAACATCTACTGATTGTATTTGCCACGTTAGTTAGGATGCCTGGAGTCCTCGTGTGGTGCTGTGGGTTAATGCACTGGACTGCAAAGTCATTTGAACCACAAGTCAGCGGTTCAAGCTCACCAGCCACCCCTTGGAAACCCTATATAGGGCCACTATGGGTCGGAACCGACTCAACGGCACAGAACAACAACAACAAATATTCATTTAGAATTGTCATATTTTTCTACTCACATTTCATGTAAGACTTTTATTCAAATTCATCACCTGTACCTTTGACATATCAGTATCTCTGTCAGCACTAGAGCCAATTCCTGAATCACCCAACAGGTTTTCAGAGCCCATTGAGTTCACTTCTGTCAAAACTGCTTGAGAAAGAGCATCTTTGCATCTGCAGACGATGTTGTCCCTTGAGATTAGTGAGTAGGGTTTTAATTTTGTTTCACTTCTATTAATCCTACCTACACTTGTGTATATATGACACTCATAACATAACCACTCGTATTGTGCTTTGTAAAAAAAACATTAAAAGCACATTGTTGTTGTTGTTGTTAAGTGCCATAGCAACCCTGTACAGGGTTTCCAAGGGTGTAAATCTTTATGGGAGTAGAAAGCCTCATCTTTCTCCCGCGGAGTGGCTGGTAGTTTCGAACCGCTGACCTTAAGGTTCGCAGCCCAATTCGTAACCACTACGCTGCCAAGTGCCAACATTTGTAAGATCAGACCCTTTTTGGTCATTTTGGTCAGGTACAACCAGCATCCGAAACTAGTACTAAGTGGGGCTGTTTTAGGCTCAAATCTGCCCCCAAATGCACCGAGGGTCAACATAAAGCAGTGGAAGGAGCAATCAGTAATTGATTCATTCATTCCATGAGTAATTAATGCGTTCAACACTGAGAAGAAAAACAACCAATAAAAGGGGGCAGTTATTATGCAAAGATTGGTCAGGGATGTCCTCAGATAAGCGACATTTAAGAAGACATGAGAGAGCCAGGCAGTAGGTAGGGAGGAGCATTCCAGACAGAGAACAACAGGTGCTCAAGTGGAGACAGTGAAGTGACGAGCAGGTGAGTAACGCAGGAGGCTACAAGGAGGACAGTTCAGGTGGGGCTCTGTAGGCCATGTAAGGACTCTGGCCAAAGGGAGCCACTGCAGGATTTTGAGCAAGATAGGGACAAGGTTTATATTTGTAAGGGATGACGCTGGCTGCTTTGTAGTAGCAGAGTGACTGATGGACTAGAAGGCACTAGACCAAAGCAGCCAGCTCAAGCATATGTGAGGAGCAATATGTAGTGAGTACCAGGACCCCAGGAAAAATGCTTCAGAGGTGGCTGAGCCCAATCTCAAGGGCACTAAAAATGAGTAAAGGAGCTGCCAATGTAGCCACGGGCTGACTTCCTGAGTTTCAGCAACTGACAGGCAGTCAGTCCCATGTTACCCCAGACAGTGACCTCCTGGAAGGAAAAACTGAAGCAAATCAAGAAAGGAATGACTAGGACACTTACAACAAAGGCACAATAAAAGACATGGAGTCAGAGAAATGGGAAAATGTAATCTGGAAAAGATACAACTGGATAGGCTATGATTATGTGAAAGTGATGGTTCTTAATGAGACTTAGTAGTTCAACGGTTAAATGCTCAACTGCTAACAAGGATGGCGGATTGAACCCACTCTGGCTCTGCAAGGGAAAAACCTGGCAATCTGCTTCCACAAAGCTGATAACCTAGAAAACCCTGTGGAGCCAGTCTACGAGTTGCAAGTGACATAGCAACACCTAACAACCACATGACTCCCAGCACCATAAGCATTAGACTTGTTCTCTAAGGCCAAAGAGAATGTAAACACCCATTCCATGTGCTCTGGTAGCATAGTGGTTACGAATTGGGCTGCGAACCTTAAGGTCAGCAGTTCAAAACTAGCAGCTGTTCCGAGGGAGAAAGGTGAAGCTTTCTGCTCCCATAAAGATTTACAGCCTCAGAAACCCTGTACAGGGTGGCACTCCACGGCACATAACCATCACCACCATATGCCCAACCAAAAATAAAGTAGGAAACAAATGTCAGTTTCATGTAAGAAAGCTTAACAGCTTGTCCAGTGGTGGAGTGAATTGCCTCATCAAGTCACAGGAAGCTGTCACAAGAATTCTGAAGTATAAACTGGATAATCTGGAGAAAACACTCTTGAAGTTCAACAACTATTTAATGAAGACTTACTAAATGCCAGCTTTTTGCAAGCCATCTCAGACGGGGTTGGCCTGGAAAATGCTAGGTTCTTTTTTTGGTTTGAGATTATGGATCTGCATGAATTCTTAAGATCAAAGCCATAAAGTCTCTTTACAGCAAACTCCATTAACATGATGCCTTTTCTTCTCTTCACACTGACAAACCCAAGCAGGGAATTTCCCATCTTTAATGTGGCCCTTCATAGGGAAAATTCTCATCTCAATCAAGCAGCAGCGGGAGTGCTGGATTTGTAGAAACACCTGAACCCCACAATCCTCAACCTGCCCTCCTGGATCCCGATTCGAAATAGGCATTTCCTTTTCTCTTGAGACCCATCTAGGAGCGTAAAGAATGTCCAGGAACCAAGATAAAGCGATCGATCAGTCCGGGAATTCGAATCCCGGTTGTAGGGGGCCATGCAGCTTACCTTCCACGGAGGGGGAGAAGATGATGAGATTGTCATAGAGGAACTCGCCATACTTAATGAGAGACAGGCTGGGGTCATCAGCTGTCTTGAATGCGAGTTCAAAGCCCCGGTCTGCAGAAAGAAACAGGGGCTGAGGCAGACGGAACGCAAAGGAAACTCCGGCTGAGCCAGACTTGACGGACCACTGGTGGGAATCGAACGAGAGGGAGGACAACTGTCGCCCTCGAGCTCGTGCGCCCTTCCAACCCCAGACCCTCACACGCTGACCCCTCTGGCCCGGCTCTCACTCTTCAGACTCCGGAAGAAAAGCGAATGCGTCTCCCGCAGGTTGAGGTTGTCCAGCAGCACTAAGGTGCGTGGGCCGCTGGCGCGCACCGGGCCAAGCACGAGCAGCAACAGCCACAAGAGGGACCAAGCACGGGCCGCGGGGCCGACCTCCATCTTACTCTTCCTGCCAAAGTGCCCAGCACCTGGGTACCGGAAGTGCCCCGTCCACGATCACCCAATCGCTGCTCGCGGTCGTGGCGCTCCACCCGGAAGTGACTAGGAAAGGCCGGGGCCCGGCGTCCTTAGCAGCAGCTTTGGCGGTGAGAGTGAGGAAGCCGGTGGGACAGTTCTTGCATGCTGGCGGTTTCTCTGAACCCTATTGGCGGAGAAAGCTCTTGGTCCCGCCTTCTCAAAGAAAAAGGCGCAATCCTAGAAAGACAGCTCTGCAGCCGTGGCCATTCAAAGCTTGAGCTCTTGTTGGCTCCTCCGAGTCGGATTCCCACCCCTGGTCTCGGTGGAGCTGGTACTGGGTTCCGTTTCTTCCTCATACCGACCCTGGCTTCCTCTGGCTGGTCCGTCGCGTCTTTGATGAGGTCTGTGGTGGTGTCGGACAACCTCTTCATTCATTAGTTCGAGGCAAGGGCAGACTCCTAGCTACCTTGTATAGTTTATAAGGAGTGGTTGGTGGGTTTGAACTGCTCACCTTGTGGTTAGCAGTCAAATGCTTACCCTAGAGCGCCACACCAGCACTCCTCCTAGGGAAAGGGGGTGGAATAAATATGATGCACGACAGGGGCATTTTGAATCTTGATGCTCACTGGGCCAGTCCCCAGACTGGTGAATCATTGTGGAGGCACCAAGATGGGTAGTGGACCGGCCTAACAAACAGCAGTACCGGACAGTGTTTAGGGTCGCTGTGAGTCAATACAGACTCAATGGCACCTTACAACAAAGTTTTGTAATCAGAGCTGGGCTCAGCTTCTCCTGGCACAGAAAGAAACCTGGGCATTTTCCATGCCTGTGTCCTGGGCTGGAAGTAGGGATAAGAGCAAGGTCCAGCTCTCCTACTTGTGTGCTTTTGGTACAGCCAATTCTCCTTTTTGGATTCAAACACAGTCTCAGGACAAATGGTGAAGGAAAGTGTGGTGAGAAATAGCAGTCTTTCTTTTCAGACCTTTTTCACTTGTCCACCAAGCCAAGAATGAGGAGCAAAAATGAAAACCCTTACTGTGACTTCCTCTCCACCCCCACTAGCTGATCCACTCGGATCAGTTCACCTCACACTCAGACCCAGAGGGACCAAAACCTGTTGCTTACGAGTCTGGCCCAGGTCAGGAGCCCCAAAGTCTCTTCCCACTCAGGTCTCTACCTCAACACCCTCAGCCCCTGCTCAGGGCTTCCGAAAGGGAGCAGGCATTCCCCTGCAGCCCCTGGCTTCTGCTCACAGTTCCTTCAGCCAAGTGCACCTCTCCACACTCCAGTCTCTTCATCCTGTGGCAGGCCCACCCTCTGCTACCTGCTTCAGAAGGGCACTCCTTGTTCTGGGGAAGGACTTGACCTCGTTTCACTCAAAGGCTACCCTGCAGCCGACCTCAGGTGAGACTCCTCCCCCAGTATCACCCTCAGCACCCTCCACACAAGCTTTTCTATGTGAGCTCCTTGGCTCACTCCTGTGGCTGGTGAGGCCTACCACATAACTGAATAAATCAGAGAGCGAGAGTAACATGGGACACCTATTATACTGGGAGCTTTAGAAAGGATCTCACATGAACCCTCACGATAACCCTATGAGTAGGGTTAGTCCCACTTCACAGCGGCGGCCCAGAGACAGATACCAGTCAAGACAGTACCAAAGGCCAAGCCTTTCCCCGTCGCCTGGGCTCCACAAGGCATGGCCATGTCAGACCAGCCTGTTCGGGCACAGTCCCTAGGATGGTCAATACTTGGGCCTTTTCCTGGCCTCAGCAAAACATGGCCTCTATTTTCCAAAACAGGGACTCTGCTTTCCTAGGTCACAACTCTAAGAATCTAATTTCAGAGACTCTCCCGACCCCAAATGCACTTACACTCAAGACTTCAGGGAGCTGCAGAAACCCTAGGGTCTTTTCTAACTGCTCTGGGGAGTTATGAACCCCTGGCCAAGAGGCAGCATCCCCACAAGGGACAGACAAGGAGGCGCCCAGCGACACTGTCAGGAATCAGGGAGGGGAGTGTTCCCTTAAAAGGCAGTTTATTGGGACCAGCGCACAATCAAGGACTGCAGAGCAGCGGGCAGCAATCAGGACAAGGGCAGCTGACTCCTTGGTATCCATCTCCTTTCAGAAGGGCACTCCTTGGCAGGCCTTTCCTCAAGGAAGTGGGGCCAGTGGGAGAAAGGCACACTTCTCAATTCTCACACTTGACGCACACTGACTGGGCTGCTGGTAAGGCCTTGAGGCAGGGCTGAAGCAGGACTAAGGCTCTGGGCAGGCTAACAGGTGGAAACACTGATGTGGTAAGGAAAGATGGAGTGGGTCCCAGGCAGAGGCTCAGCCCTTGCTGGGCTCTGGGAAACAGGGAAGGAAGGGTGTCTTCCCAGGGCTGAGGGCCCCCTGTGGTCCAGGTGGGGAGACCTGGCTGTCTGAAGAAGTCCCCTTGGGGGGGTGGGAGGGGGCAGCGGCAGGAAGCTGTGCTCACAGAAGCTCACTGCCAAAGTTGCTTTTGCTTTTCTTGCGCTTGGCCTTAGTGAAGGGAATGTCCAGGGATTCGAGGCGAAAGGGCCGGGGCTGGGGCATTTCTGGGGCCTGAGTGGGTGAGATGGCAGAGTTGTTGCTGAGGGAGGAGCTGAGGCCTGGTGGTGAGTTGTGATGAGCTGTGGAGAAGGCAGAAGGTGCCGGTTGAGGCAGGAATGCCAAGAATGGAGAGAGCAGCAGGAGTGAAAGCTGGCCCAGCCCCTCCCAGCCAGTAGCCCCAGTCCTGCAGCTGGAACCCAAAGTTCAGACATGCTGTTCTGCTTGGGGTCTCAGACTCTGCCCTAGGGGGGTTTCAAGCCCAAGACTGAGGCAGCCCAGGGTCTCAAATCAGACCAGCCTGGGTTCAAAGCCCAGCTCCACCACTTCCTAGAAGTATAATGTTGGGTGAGTCACTTCACCTATTTGAGCCTCAGTTTCCTCATCTGTAACATGGGCATGGTGCCAGGTTATCAACTGATGCTAGTGTCCTTATGTTTTCATCCTGATTCCCTACCTTCACCTGCTGTCTCTTACACAACCTCACTGTAGAACTAATAATTGCTTGTTTATCATGGTCTTTGATTTTCATTGTAATCCGAGAAGATTTAATTGATTTTCAGTTCTTGCTATTAAATCATGTCCTGCTGTTGGGCCCCTTCTTGCCCCTCGGCTCAGTGGTCCTTGACAGAGACAGGTTAATTCCTCCCCAGGTGGAGGAAGTTCCACCACGGGATCTGAGGATGTCAGGGAGTAACTGATGCAGGCCAGGCCACCCAGGGAGGGCCCAAGCTGTGTGTTGAGGGCCTGCTGTGGACCGAGGGAGATCAGTCAAACACAGCACCCTCACCCAAAAGCAGAAAGAGTAGAAAAAGAGTATCTATGTGCCAGGCCCTGGGCTGGGCCATTCCCAACCCGATCTCACCTCATCCTGAAAAAGGGGTGTTCAAGCTCATTTTACAGCTAAGGAAACCGAGGCTCAAAGAGGGATTCAGGTCTGCCTGAGGTCTGAATCCAGCCCTTCCCACCTCTCCAATGGGTAGAGGATCAGGACCACTGTGGACAAGGGGCTGGCCACAGGAAGACTGGGGTTGAGGGCTGGGGTTTAGGACACTCACTGAGGCTCTTCATGGGATCCGTGCTGAGGATCTGGCTGGCCCTCTTGGGTCGGAAGTAGTTACTGGCAATATTTTCACTGTCGCTCCGACTGAGCATTAGCTTGTAGCGGTCTTCCTCCTGCTAGGATGGCCAATCCCCATGGGTAAGGAACCCTTGTTTGTACTGTCCTCCTCTGGACCCTTACTTAGGCCTTAGTGGCCTCGGAAAGCCTGGTGAGGAGGGAGCTTCCCTGAGCCTGTGTCACAGGGCTGAAGCCATCTGTCCACTCTGGTGTACCTCTATTTCAGAGCCCAGACTCCTCAGCTGTCAGATTCCAGGCAGCTCAGGCCAGGAGAGTCACAGTCTCCAAGTAAGACTCCCACCTTCCCTCACTTAGAATGGGAAGTGCCTTGCTCCCTGGTTGAATCAGGCAAACCTCAGAGTGTCCTGCCAGCTCCAGCAGGGGTGTGGGTGCTATTTCATACCCCAAACCTATGCCAGTACCCAGCACAGGGATGTATCTATGCCCAGGGCCACTGGGGTCCCAGCCTTTCCAGCACCGTTCTTTTTCACCACTCTGATGAACTGGTTCTCCTCAACCAGACTTTCCCTCCTGTCTGTGGTGTTACCCTTCATGCTCCCTAATACCACTCTCAGCTACTCCCACCCCTACTACACAGGTGGACACATGACCCAGACTGGGCCAGTCAGAATGACATCTCCCTAGACCTAGAATTGGTCCACGAGTAGACCCAGGACCCGGGCAGATCCAATCAGAATCTTTCCACAAGCTTTGGCTTAAGAATGCTTCCAGAGAGCATCGTGATTTATCAGTCTCCCTCGGTACACAGCTGCTCTTCCTTTTGGATCATGAATTGCCAGCAGGCCCTTACCTGCCATGAGACTGAAGTCAGCATGCTAAGGGAAGCAGAGCCCTGAGAGACAGGCACAGAACCCTAGCAACATTGTTTGCACCCCTGATCCAAACATGCCTGAACCAGACACATTCTGACGAATATAGCTTCTCTGTGGTCCCAATTTGATTTTGTTGTTTTTCAGGAATAACGTTCCCTTTTTAAAGAAGTTAGGCTGTCAAAAGTTGCCAATCAGAGCAGGAGGCCAGCATGAGGTATTCCTGACAGCCACCATTCCAGATGTTTGACCAGAATTCATTAGCTGAAGAGTGGCCTTATGCCTGTAAAGGTATGTTTTGTGGGGGTGTTCTGGAATATCTAGAATGGCTTAAGGCAGGGGTCAGCAGATTATGACCAGTGGGCCAAAAGTGGCCCATAAAAGCCTGTTTCTGCCAAAAAAGCAAAAAACACAGAGAATGGAAGCAAATACTGTTGAATGATGATGTAGAGAAGATTGTAATCATTGCAGTGAAACGAGTGTTTAAAACCCATGTTCTCCCATGTAAATGATCACTCAAATCACAATAAAAACTGAAAAAGAAAAGGCCTGTTTCTGTGAAACAAGCTTCAGTGCAGCACGGCCACACACGTTCATGTCGTATCTGTGACTGCTCGTGTGCCACCAGCAGAGTTGAGTGTTTGCCACAGAGAACAGATGGCCTGAGAAGCTTAAACTATTTACTATGGGACCTTTGACCCAAAAAGTTTGCCAAACCCTGGTTTAAAGATCTGTTTTTCATGTAAATACAAAATATGGAAGATAGAACAAATTAAATGACTTGAGGGTCCAGATTACTGTTTCACGGGCCCTCTGAGAGACCCTCTTGGTCTGAGGATACCAGGTGGGGCCCAGGGGACCAGAACGTGCTGCCTGCTGGAAGTGAAGTCTCCACCCTCACCAGCTGATGGGCCACCCCACCTGGAGCTAGCTCCTTTCCTGCTGGAGATGAGGGTCTAGGTGCCAATGTGGTCACACAGAAAAGGCTCCAAGCCCAGCCCCTACTGGAATCCGCAGGTGGGACAGCAGCAATGGCTTCTGGAGCTCCCCACTGCACTTCAAGATCCAAGCCAGTCCTCCCACGCTCTCCCAGGGCCCTTACCATGCCTGCTTCGCCGGTGTCCGCTGCAGAGGTTTTGCGGGCTGCTTTGTTTGATGGCCCTGGTGGAACTGCTATGAAAAAGCAAAAGCTAAGTCACTGCTGCCAGGGGCAGGGGGGCCAGGGTGAAAGGCTGGGCTGCAGGGTCTCCCCCTGGAGCTGAGGTCAGGGGACGACACTCCCCGCCAGACCAAGCCCAGGAATGACTTTGGGAAACAGACAGCAGGTTGGGGTGGGCTGCTGCCGCCCAAAGGTCATGAGGAATGGAACGGGCTGAAGTCGCAACAGGAATAGATGTCACTGGCCATCATACACATCAGAGATGGAGGACATGAACATACACTGTCTGATGGACAGACTGTGGTGGGGATCGGGGTTCACAGAGGTAGGTGAACAAGCAGAAGCAGGTAGTGGCTGGAGAGCTAACAGGAGGTGGAGGGACCTGAGAGACCATGCTGTCTAATCTTTCTCTGCTAACATGGGCGGACTGGAGGCCAATGACTGACATAAGGCCACACCAGAGGCAGTGGCAAAAGCCGACGTGGACCCAGACCTCGATCGCTGGGCAGCTGTTTCCAGCTCTGGGTCTCTAGCTCATGGCTCTGGCTATGGCTTTGGGTAAGTCACTTGAACTGATATGTACAGTCAGCCCGCTGAACTTTGTCTTATGGAAGGATGACAGTGATACCCGATAATGATAAAAGGTCTCAAACACTAAGTGCCAGGTATTGTTCTTAGGAATTTACAAGTAGAATCAAACCTACAAAACCTGGAACCTTGTGTCCAAGAAGGAAAAACCAAGTCTTTTCCACTAAAATTGAATAAATTAAGTAAGACTGTATACTGTCAAAGGCCGAAAACCTGCCAGACCCAGAAAAAGTGGGCAGTCCCGTCGAGTTCCAGCTCTCACAGGTTTAAGCCTCACAGCCTTCTTTAAGGTGCTATAGTAATCCCTCTTTCACAGGTGAGGATGCTGAGTCCCAAGGAAGTCACACTGGGAGTTGGTAGAGCCAGAATTCCAACCCCCAACTGTGTGACTCCCAGAATACACCACTGTCTCTGGTCCCAGTATATTGGATCCCCACAACCACCTGGGCAGGGCTGTCAGCAGTCTGGGATGGAGGGAAGGGAAGAATTCGGAGACAGCCAAGCTCCTGACCTACTGGGAGGCTGGTTTTTATGACGACGGGCTCAGGGACCTTCCAGAAGCCATTCTCCTCATCCCAGGAGGACTCGCGCCGAATCTTCTCCAGGTTGCTGTAGTTACAGTCCCGGCGAATCAGGGGCTGCACCTGCTCCAGCAGCTGCTGCAAGAGCATGAAGTCCCGTTCCTGCCTGCGGATGGTGGCCAAGTAGTCTATCTTCTCCAGCTCAAACTCCGACTGCAGATCTTTGATCTCCACCTCTGCTGCCCGAAGCTGAAAGCAGAGCATGACAAGATGTAAACAGGTGCAAGTGGCTACCCATCCATCTGATCATCCCACCCGTTACTCCTTCCAGTTAGCCTTTGAGCTATTCATACATCCATCCCTAGCTCCACCACCTGTACACCCTTCCATCCATTCACTCATGTATCCTTCCAACTCGCCCTGCACCATTTAAATGAGCACCTACTATGCCTGCAGCCCTACAAAAATAGGAAAATGAAGGTGACCATCAACCCCATCTGCCAACCTTTGATCACTAACCCACACCCATACATTTTATTTGGGAACCTTTTAAAAATAACCCCATACAATACGATACTCATAACAGTCCTAAATGATCCTGTAGAATTGCACAAATGGTTTTGCTAAGAGGAGGAAGAGACAACTGAGTCCCCTGTCTCCCACTGCTACAACCCTCAGATGACAGCAAGTTCTGCCTTGACTCTTGACACTCAATGGAGGTGGAGGGATCTACAATATCATCCTCTCCAACCCATGCTTTGTAAACATGGGGGGACTGAAGACCAGAGATAGGCAATGACTAACCTAAGGAGGCCAGTGGCAAAGGCAGGTGTTGAACCAGACTTGGATTGCTGAATGGCTACTTTCTCTCCAGTTGGACAAGCCTTCTCCAACTAGAGTCAAGTACCACCCTTGACTTGACTATGATTCCAGATGCATCTGGCCTTCTTCCCAGGTCTTCTAGACTGGCTCTCCAACTCCTCCTGTGTGTATGTAGGTGACTCCTCTGTGTATGTAGGTGACTCCCAATTCCAACTGTAATCATGACCTCCCCAAGCCAAAGACCCCCTGGTACACAGTCTGTTTCCTCAAAGAGCAGGTACATTTGACCAATAAGGAAGGATGTTTTCATAAATTCATAAGACTGATAATCATCAAATTGAGAGCAGAAGATAACTGGTGGATCATAGACAGGAAGGCCAGTCAGCAGGGTGAGGGGGTTACAGCAGCTCCTACTAAATAATACTCCCATTTCCTAAGCAGAATGGCAGATGAGTGGTGTTCATAGTAATAATCTTTTTTATATCTACACACATAACTACATATACACCCACTCCTAACTTATCAACAGGAGCCCTGGTGGCACTGTGGGTTAGGCACTGAGCTGTTAACAGCAGGGTTAGTAGTTCAAAATTACTAGCCACTCTGAGGAGAAAGATGAGGCTGAAAACACCATATAGGGTAGCTCTGAGTTGGAATACTGGAGAATTCTATAGACAAAATAGTGAATGATGCATAAAGCATTAAAAGAAGACAGAAGGAATACACAGAGTCACTCTAGCAAAAAGAAATGGTCAATGTTCAACCATTTCAAGAGGTAGCATATGATCAAGAGTACTGAACAAAGAAGCCCAAGTTGCACTGAAGGCACTGGCAAAGAAGTAAGTCCTAGGAATTGATGGAATACAAATTGAAATCTTCCAGCAAACTGATGCGGCGCTGGAGGCACTCATCTATGCCAAGAAATTTGGAAGACAACTAACTACCTGGCCAACTGACTGGAAGAGATCCATATTTGTGCCCATTCCAAAGAGAGGTGACCCAACAAAATGTGGAAATCACCAGACAATATCAATATTAATGCAAGCAAACTTTTACTAAAGAAAATTTTTAAATGGCTGTAAAATTACATTGAAAGGGAACTGCCAGAGATTCAAGTGAGATTCAAACATGGACATGGAACAAGGGGTATCATTGCTGATGTCAGATGGATCTTGGCTGCAAGTAGAGAATACCAGAAAGATGTTTACCTGTGCTTTATTGACTATGTGTCGGGGACCCGCCTCGACATTGGGGTTCAGTTCACGAGGAGAGGATACCTGACGGCGATTCATATATATCAAGAATACACAGAAAGAGACAAAGGAGACAAAGAGAGAGACAA